AGGGCGCTGGTGGAACTGGGCGTGGGCACGGAGCCAGGGGCCAAAGCCTTCACCCCTTTGATGTCAGCGGCATGGATTGGCCATGAGGAAATCGTTGATCTTGCTCTCAAGAGAAACACTCAAGGCAACGATCGACAATGCAAATGAATATAGGCAGACTGCGCTGACCCTGGCGCTAGCCAATGGACACAGCGGTGTCGCAAGGCGCCTGATCAATGCAGGTGATGAACACAAGGCCATTCAATCCATGGGACAGAAGCAGGAAGCTGATGGAAGCTGCAAGACGAATATTGGCCTTTCGCAAACGCCGAGCCTCAACTGTGCCAAGGCCAGGGTAGTCCTCGGGCCTTGGCCTTCGAGGAAATATCTGCAGCGGCCCAAAAGACAAAGGCGCGAACTAGCATCTTGTCTGTCTGCCGAGCAATGATTCATTGCAAGAGTTCCACGAGCTAAGTTAAAAGCGACATCTTTTCTCAGTTTGCTGTTTTGCTTAGAATATTTGTGGTATGATTATTCACACGAAGCTTCCGAACAGGTTGGTCGCAGGAACTGGGCGGCTTTCCTTTGCTCCCCTTCGCCCCCCTTTGGCATTCCTACAAAAGGGTTAGTGTCAAAAGGACAAAACGCTGGAAGAGATCCTTCCGCAGCACAGGACGATCCCCTCGATGCCTTCATGGCGCTGGTCCCAGCAGATCACGGAGCCTCTCTTGGGTTGCTCCCCAAATAGAAACCCTTTGGGGTAGTAAGTTAACAACATGAACCCGCCAGAACAAGAACGTTCCACCCCGATTTTGACGATCATAAAGACGCAAGGATGGCTGGAGGTTGGAGTGTGGGCACTTTAAATTAGAGTCGAGGGCTTTTGCGCTGAACATAGAAAACGCAGCGCTTACATGTGGCAACGCACGACTACGAGAGAGCATCAAAGGCAAACTATGTGACAGAACACAGTAGCTTGTTGTGCGTGTGATGAGCAGCGAGAGATGCGCAATTTGTCACATCACTTCTGGTTTCAAATTGCAAGGAGTTGGACAGTTTGTCGATGTAAGTTTGCTTTTGTGTTTGTTTGTTTGTTTGTTTGTTTGTTTGTTTGTTTGTTTGTTTGGTTGGTTGGTTGGTTGGTTGGTTGGTTGTTGGTTGGTTGGTTTGTTTGTGTGTGTGTTTGCGAGCGTGCGTGTCAGCGAGTAAAGGCTGCACCAATTTGCCATATGAATCTTCCAATGTTTCGACACATAATGTCGTTGGGATGCAGATTGCTTGCGGAGCAGAGGCAGAGATCAACTCTGAGCTCGCCAAGTCTGCAGGCGCGTGCGGAAACCTGCACGATCTGTAGCAGAGGTTGATACGGATCTCCTGAACCAATTGTGTAACGAAGAGGACATGAAGAGGCAGCTATCAGCATGCTCACTACCGGACACTTCAGGCTTGCCTTCGGCCTTCCCACGTAAACTCGAGTTGCAGTCACACTGCTGCCGTGCGGCGGTTACTCATTTGGATTTCTCTTTTCACGTCATTGACCAATATCTTTCCCAGACCTCACGCAGGCAGCTGTCCCGAGTTGCCACCACGCACCTCAATCAAGAGCCACCTCTTGGGGAGCGCGCGCGCACACTGATAAGTGAATGTTGCCAGGCTCCACACGGCGCACAGAGGCTTCAATCGGCTTCCAACCAACATCTCGCCTGGGCAACCACACACACAATCTTATAGTGAAAAGCCTAGTTTGCCAAAATTTCTATTGCCTGCAAAAATGCATTGAGGCGTCCCTCAATACTTCCAGCCAAACTTCCACACCTCACATACATTGGTTTGGAGGTTGGTAACGTGACCCATACAACCCTGATTGTGCAGTCTGACAATTGGGGGCCCATTTATTGGGACCGTTTTAAAAGGCACCGCAAGCCCTGCCATTGGGGGGCTCCGCAGGGCTCCCAACATCTGACACATGGCCGACCAGTGCAAGACTCCTTTTGAGCATTGACACTATCCGCAGCTCTCACCCAGCAACTCTGTGTGGACAAAGGTTGTTCCCAACAAAGACTTGCCAGGTTAAGCGATGGACGCTGAGCATGCCCCTGCTTTGGGCTGCCCACAAAAGAGCTACTTCACTTGCTACGCCTTCTTATGATATCATATCCCATGCAGGAAAAGGACACACTGTAGATGCACATTTCGCGTGACACATGACATCTACCACGGTATGGTTTGGTCGAGTCAGTCTATGAAGCAGAAGGTGCGAAAGAGCAAGGCGCAGGAAGTGAGGCTCCTGGCCATTTCTCCTCAGGCTCCGAGGCCTTCGAGAGCAAGATGCAGAAGGCCCGCAACTTTCGAAGCGCAACATCAAAAGAGTGCGTCCTCCATTTGAGGGAGGAATTTGGCTGTTCATCCTGGTAGTTTTGAGGGAAAACAGTTGCTTCTCCACGCAACACTTCCGCTGGCCTTTTCTTATCCAGACTTACACCGGTGCCAGGCACAGGCAATGTGGGAGAACGACACCGAGGACTCCGCTATGAGGTGTCTTGGAAATCTGGCGTGGACAATCTGTCATACGCAGTTCTGCCTTCGGAATGCTGGGCAATTTTGGAGCTCGACACTAAGAAGCAACTCCCAGAACATGCTGACACACCAGTACTCCCATCTTTCTTTGCATGTTCTCCGGGAAAGCTTTGTCCACGCGCTCCAAAACGGATGCTTACAGGTAGTGAAGGACATGTGCTGCATCGACGGTGACAGGGCTTGGCATCAGTGTGGGCGCTTCGGGGCAAAGGCCAAATCCACTCACAAACTCAATTAAAACAACTAAATCACTTAGTTTTTTGTTTTTCACAGTCCACCCAGTGTGAATGATACTATAGCATGCTGCAGGCGTGAATGATACTATAGCATGCTGCAGGCATTTGCAAGTCACCTGCCGGACATAACCCAAGCGTGATTCTGTTTAGATTCTATGAACGACCCATTGGCATAGGATTTTGCCCGCTATGGACAGTTCACATCAGCCAGCACCAAACGTGACCTTCTCCCAGTCAGAAGGAAAGCTGCGGGGCGCGGAAGAACGCAATCGGCCCCTAAGCGAAGATGGCCATTGAGACGCAGTTGAGCCGGCTGTGCGCGTCTGCGGGCGGCCAGCAAGAGACGGTGCCTGCCTCAAGTCGCGAGGGCGGGCGTGTGTCCAAGCTCGCTGTGGGTTCATTGCAAGGCACTTGAGGGAACACGGCAGGTTTCAGCATAGAGCGATTCATGTTGCTGATTCTCTTTTGAAGCTGGGATTCTGCGAGAATGGTGCCGGAGGCACGATTTGAGGTGGTAATGCGTGAGGGTAGTGCTATTGTTTTGGCTCAGGACTTCATTCCAGGAGCCCTTTGCTCGAATACGTGAACCCGGGGTTAAGCCTGCCTAAGGAAATAATCATTAACATACTGAATGATGCTGAGAGCTCTCTGTTGCGGCTTTTTTGGAACAGGCCCTTCCCTGGACAAAGGCGTGTTGTGCTGCTTTTCCCTTTTGGTGGTTTTCAGCATCACCCTTTGGTTGCCAATTGAAAACAAGTTTCTTTCTTCGGTGGGGTGATGCCTTTAAGTTGGACATCTAGCTGGAAACTTGTTCACCATCAATCTTTAGCACAATTGGGTTCACCGGAGTTTCACGGCTTGAAGGCATTGAAGGAGTTTGCTTTGAGTTCTTGCTGACGTACCATGTCAGTTTGTTATATTGAGGCACCTACCACGCGCTTTGCAGTTTGTCCGGCAAACATGCAACAATCTTCATGAAGTTGTGCCCAAGGCTGGTTGCAAGGGATCACTTTTGATGGTAGACCTCTCCGGCTTTGTCCTCTCGCCTGCGGGAATATCGATCTTGTTTGCTGTCCGGGTACGATGCACCGCACCGCAATCATTTTCCTGACAGCTTGGCAGGCCATCAGCCTCCTCACGAGGATCCTCGGGAACCTGGTTGCACCCCGGCACAACGTCAGGAGATCGCAGGAGTATCAATATCTCCTTTGCCGTTGTGGCCACAGTTTGCTGTCATTGCGTTTTTGTTGCCCGGTGTGCTGGCCTTGTGCTCGTTCTCGTGTTCTCGTTCATGCTTCTTTGGGTGGCTCTGGCTGTTATTGCCAGTTGTTGTTTGTTTTGCTCCTGGTTCCTATGGTCCTTCTTTGCCGCTGACCACCTGCTTGGATGTCTTCTCCATTCTTCTCCCCTGCCCTTTTTGTGCCCCAGGATGCCGTGCCAAGGGTTCGAATAGTTTGTACTGTGATAAGGTGGTTGGGATCTTGTAGTTGCCACTGTAAAGGTTGTTGTTTTCAGAAGTGGGGTATGTCCCATCGGTGCCAGTCTACTGTTCGATGCCTGCACGCAACGATGGCCAGACTGGATGTGTGTTTTTTGTTTTGACAGGCCTATATGAAGAAGCTCAGTGTCCGTGGGCAAATTGAATCATGACAACGGTGTCCGCCGCACTTCAAGGAAGAATCTTTCTCGCTATCTCTCGTTCTCTGGCTTTTGCAGATCCTTTATGAAAGCAGCGGTTGGTACGACGCTTAGAGTCGTTCCTCTTCGTCCAAGCGACACCATCCATTTGCCCAGGACAACCCCAAGGAGGCCAAGTTCCGGCGCCTGATGCATGGCTGTAGCGGCAAGAGCAAGGGTCTCATTTTGACATTTGGCAGTGGCTCAACATGTACCAAAATGGCACGTTAATGGCGCCAAAGACAAACCTGCACAATTTTAGCTCCTTAATTTTGAGCCGCACCCATTTTGATCCAGTTTCCCATGCTCAGCTCCTCAATTTTGCAAGGGGTCTTTTCCCCACTTTCGCAAGGGACTGATTTTGCATGCCCCGTGGCCTTAATAAAATTTCATGGAGCTTGTACGGCCTCCATGGTGGTGGCCATGGGGTGCAAGGTTAGTCGACTGAGGAATCCCAATAGTGAGAAGCTGAAGAACGATCTCCTGCGTCATGAGGGCGCGCTGGAGCTGTGGCCTGGGCTGAACGTTCTTGCATGTGCTCGGGCTCGGGGCTTGCAGAGCTTATTCTGGTGCTGTGCCTTTGGGCCTTTGGGCCCTGGCAGTTGAGCAAGAAGGCATCTTCTTTTAGAGTCGTGGTGCACGGCTGAAATCAGTAAGGGAACTTCAGGAGGTTCTTGTAGGCAAACCTTGTTGGCCCTTTAGTATTGGTGTGAATCTGGGAGGCAAAAGGGGAAACCTTTACTCGGGGCGGTTGCAATTCGTGCACTGACATTGAGGCTGTCAGGCTTGTGCAACATTTGCTTGAACCAGGCCATGTACCTATGCGAGAGCCAAAATGGGAGCGGCATTTCTTGGTTGGTTCTACAGGGATCCAGAGGAACCCAACTACTTTGGGGTGCTTCCAAAAATGTCCTGAAAATCTGCAAAAGGATGGTGTCCCTTTGGTTTCCCTTCAAAACACCGACCAACACGGGGACCCGTTTAGGACCGCCTCGTGTGTAGAGATGTGAAAGCAGAATGTCAAGCCAAACCTTTCATGGGAAAACTTGGTGATTGAAACATGGGGTCCGTGTCCAATTTCGTTGACGTCACCCTCATTGGGTTGCCTCAAAACGAGGAACTCTTTCTTCTGGATGTTCAAGCAAAGTGTCCAAACCGACACCTGGGGCCCACGTGGCCATGATGTCTTAGCAAGGAACCACCTCAAAAGTTGTTGGTGGACCTAAATTCCCACCTAAGTGGTACCTACCTCATGGTCCCGTATTTGAAAAACAACTCACACCCACATGTTGCAACAGGCGCAGCAACCGAAGCGCAGGCTAAGCTCGCTGGGCTTCCAGCCCACTGCAGACGGGCACCTGGAGCTCCCGCTAGGCGGGGCCAAATGTAACGAAGCGACTGGCGAGTCCTGCGACTAAGGACATTGGGTTGTAATGTTACAACATGTTGTGTAATCATTGTGCATCAAAAGAGAAGGATTTGAGAAAAAGCGGTTTGACATGGTATCATATGTTCCAAGCAGACTGCTCCCTGCACTTCAGGACACGTGGGTCAAGTCTCCAGACGTGTTTGATTATCACGTGCATTGAGGCGCCGCGGCACCTGAAGCGGCACTGGCGACGTTAAAGCGCGGAGGCGGGCAAGAGCAGTGCGGAATGGGAGTCATTGCGTCTCGGGGGATACAACTGACAAGCACCAGACTATTCGAGCTAGCCCTCCAGATATGTTTCCGCCCAGTAGTAAAGTTCTCTACTCAATGCAGTCATGCACAGGCTACACGGCGTGCTCTGCCAATCTCCACGTGAAGGCAGGAACTCAGCTTTGCGATGTGCACATTTGGAAGCTCCGGATTCATGCCTAAACTAGGCTTCTGAAGGGGGAATGGCGGACAGAAGCAGAGCGGCAAGGGAAGGGGCAGAGGGAACGGCAGAGAGATGGATGAGCAGAATCTACTGAAGAAGTTGCAGAAAATTCGAGTTTGAAACATCAGTCACAGAATCTCCCCCTTTTTTCACAAACAATAACTTGACGAGAGCAAACATCGGACTTGATTTTGGCAAGTCCGCCTTGGCACGTAGGGAAGCTCAGATCCAGCCGCGTTTTCTGTCAGGTCAGCTTTGTAATCGCCTCATGGTATCATCATAGCCAAGCCGAGTGCATCAGTTCCCTTTGTTTCGAATGTGATTGCCGGAGTGTGGCAGGTAGACCCTAACAAATCCTGAGTTTTTGTTCCTGTTCAACGCTGCGACGGAAATGCTTCGTTCAGTTCCTTTAGCCCACCGATGACAGAAGACTGAGCCATTGCGTTCTCGTCAGTGTGCCTAAACTAGACATTTGAACAGGTCAGCTCAAAGAGCAGGTGACAAGATCGACAAGTGGGCTGTTCACCTGCGCAAACCGGGCCCCATAAAAAGACATGACACCAGCATGTGCATCCCGAAGATTCTGAAAGTGTGAGTGAGCACTGCAAAGCCGACCCCAGAGTTTGGATGTGGTAGGGCCTCAGACTCTGCATTCGGCCCAGGCGGAGGAGCGTGCGGCGCTGCAGTCCCTGGACACCGAAACCCTTCAGATTTTGGCCTCCCAGCCGCACCAAATCGGCGCTCAGTCGTCCAGCATTCCAGCAGGAGCCAGCAACTCCTATTCGGGTGAGGTGGTTGATAGGCGATTGTATTTGCCAGAAAATGTCCTTTCACGGGAGTTGGCGGGAGTCGTAGTTTAGAATTGGGTAAGAAGGCTGCACTCTGTGACGGATTGTTGGCAGCTTCCTCTTACGAGAGGGTTGATTACCCATCTCGCACGGATTTCTTTCGGAAGTCCTGGAGCGTGTGTTGGACCCAGGTTTTCGCTTCGTTTCACCTGTGGGTCGCGGAGTTAGCCATGTCCTCAGGAGCGGATTCTGGACAATATCCGGCGGTATCCGAGCAGCGAGAAGTACAGGCTGCTGAAGTTGCGGACTTGAGTTGCTCGCTTTGTGCAACTGAGAATCAGGTTTGCTTGTTGACGTTGAAGCTTTGCCGTAGCACAATGC